AGTGGACTGTACCCATCCGGGCTAATGTTGAACTTGAGACCAAAGATTGTGTAGCGCCGCCGCGCCGCTATACAATCTTGTTTGAGACTTGGAGCCAGTCTATTGTTGCCTCATTCCAAAAGATGGCGGCGCCCACGCAAGCAGTTGTCCGACGTGCACGAGGAATTCTTTTGCAGAGTGTGAAGAACACTACTGCTGCTCGTTCTAAAACAAGCGTGGAGTATGACGTTGGTAGGCCTATGTTAAATTTGTTAAGTCAGTCTCTTAAAAGGTTTGCTTTGGTCTGTTAGTTGGTTGTAACATCTGTTTCCTTGCTCTGTCCATGTACCCCCAGAACAGTGTGGGGTCCGCCCCGCTCCCGGACGTCGGACCCCACTGTTCTGGGGGTATAAGCCTTATCGCAAATAGCGCATGGACGATTTTACACAAAGCCTTTCTACCATTGTGCAAAATCACCAATGCAGTATTTGCAATAAGGCTTATGCTTTGTGGTTGTAGACAATCATAACGAATATGATGAATGCCAACGAGACATTTCATCCCACGACCATGCATGCCCAAATCTGCAGATGTCTAGGCTTTGATAGCTTGAACAGGTAGGCTAGGCCTGATAATAAGTTTTCAAAAATTGCCTTTGAAATTAACTTTAATCTAGCTCCAGTAAAATAGGTCCATGCACTGACGTGACAGATGACATCACACTTTGTTTACATGTGCACTTACTGTACATGTACACGTACTACTAACTACATCATGTACAACCCTGTACAGGTACTACCATGATTACTGTCATGACTGTACTGGAACTAGGCCTGAGCTATTGCCGCAGGGGCCCACTGTTAAACTGACCACCATCTGACCATACTAGCCTAGGACTGGAAAGCACTCACGTTAACAAAGTGTAGCATTAGCCCCTATCTATTCAGAGGTCTATTCAAGCACTTGAGCTTCAAGCCCTGGTACTTAACTCTACTCATAGTACTTGTGACGTCTGGAATAAGTGGAAATCTGTAATAAGTGCTTGTGCGGAGTACATT